AAATGTGAACTATATTAGCCAGGAATTAAACGAGGTATATAAATACAAAAGTCTTCAGATCCACATTTTTGAAACAAATAATTATACTAAAAATATGACATGAATCAGCATTTCCTTGTGATGTAGAGCCACAGGTTGACAAGCCGATCGGCAATCCTCCACACAATCACAGACTAAGTCATTGACAGTCCGTCCTGTCCCTTCTCTCAGATACTGAGGGGGATATGCTGCATGTGTTAAAGTACATTAAGCTCTTGCCGGATCCCTCCTTGTGCCATTCTCCTCTCGTCGACTCGCAGACACAAAGGCAGATTAAAGGAGCGTGCGCCATAAAAACCCTGTGTCAATCTTATCGGCTTCGAGTGCAATTTTTAAACATATGTTAATCTGGGAGAGCTAAAACTCATTCTCTCCTCTCTCTGCTTGTTTATCTCTTATCAAATGCGCAGTAGGTGAGAGGCAGCTTTGCGGTGCGGCTAAGTGCCATTATTTGGGTAATTGCGTCCATTGTTGCAGGTTATACAGCTATTTGAAATGGGAGGTGTGTAAATAGGTGCAGGGGCCAGGTAGGGGGTGGTTGAGATATATTCAAACAGGGGCCAGGGGATTTTCTGCCAAGGCTACAAGACGCATTTGAATGCTTCTTCATACCTCAAGCTGCATTTTCAATAAGGAGTGTTTGATATATTTTCCCTGTGTAACAATACCTTTTGAAAACTAACAATGCCAAGGTCAGAGGCATTACAAGCATTGGCAGAAACACAATAACGGTGAATGGTATCTTAATTCTGAGAGAAATTTGCATGGTAATAAAAGACATATTAAAGACTGCATCTACAGTTCAAGCTTTTCAATCTGTGCAGGCCTGCCTATAAAAGGTTACATGATAATCAAACAAGTTTTATTAGACAGCCATGTAATCATATTATGGTGTATATGTAATGAATACACAGCTTCTGCTGAATGCACTCATTTACGTCTCCTATATTCAATAAACTCGTATAAATATTTGGTCTGTTGCAGGAGGTGAACGTTCTCCTCATGCTGCATGTGTGAAGGACAGTGCTCCCAGTGGTGCAAGAATAACAAGTTCATTAGTCGAGGGGGGGCGCCGCAGGAATTCAAATTCCCCCCCGACCCGTTCCTGGGCTCCGATTGGCTGGCTGCGTCGGCATGGCGAGACTCATTAGAGCCCAGCAGTAATTAAGAGTTGTTAGAAAGTGAATTCTCCAACCGCAGATTAGAAAATTAAACTATTTACTGATTACATATTAATAGAAGACAACAATGGCGCTTGCCATAAGCTTGGAAGGCAACCAAGGAATAAATCTGTGTACTTAATTACCATAAACAATGGGGGCATAGAAATGGAGTTTTATGCACACTCCCTCCTGTAATGTGTCTGATATCAGAAGACACTTGACAATTCTTGTTCAATTATCTCTATTATTTAATGTGCTGTGAACTGCCTCTGAGTAAATAAATTAACCACCCCAATTACTTGGGATTCATCTGGGGAGGGCCGCGGCGTAATAGAAAATGCCGCAGAAAGCTGCATTGTGCCCAAACCAGGGGAGAGAGGGGGGGAGGAGAGGGGGGTGTGGAAAAGGAGGGAGAGCAGGAGTGAGTGAAAGGAGAAATAAATAGAGATTGCAGGAATAAAAAGGAATAAAACAAATAGAAAGTGATGCAAAACATGATAAAGTAACAGGACAAGTTACATACAAAAGGAAGCATTTGAAAACTAAATGACTAAAGACTTCATTGCAAATATTATACATGCACATATAGGCAGATTGACCGACTTGAAGAAGAGGGAAAAAGGATGAGGAAAGCAAAAGCATGTGATATCAAAGAGGGGTATGGAGGCGCAGCAGAGCACAGTGGATCTTCCCAGGCTTTCTGCTGCTGGAGCAGAGAGATGAACAATCAGTCATGGGTCAGTCGCTATGTCTGTTCACATCTGCCCATCAGTCCTGCAGCGCTGCAACAACACCACTGAACACTGAGCTCTCGCACACTCAAGAGCTCTGAATCATATGATCACAGATACTGCTATGACTTCCACACTGCTTACTAAGTCCAGGAACAAACTGCACATCGTTCTGGGTGTAATCTACATGTATAGGCGGCGGGGCTATTTACCAGATGGCTAGATGTGAAACTGAGAATAGTCAATGAAGGACATTAATACTATTTGTCATAATACACCAAATTCAGCTATGACTGCCTTTCTGTGACATCCAGTCTCTACTTCAACTGAATTCCTGATTATATAATCCGCTGTCTAGTTCACATCTGAACTCCAGCTAAATACAAATTGTGTAAAGTGGAGACACAATGTATTTCAGTCCTTTCTCAAAAGCCCAACTTCTGTCTCAGGTTTGTATATGTAGAGTTGAAATACACTACTAATTATTTTCCTACTGAGTTTCATGTAATAGGTGATATAGTTGAAATGACGTTGTCCAGAACTAAGGATGACAGGGACACTGTCTTACAACTTTTTCATTGGCATCCAAAAAAAGCTCATCAAGAAATAACATTCTGTGAAGTGTCCTTAATTGCACTCATACTTTGTAAGTCCCTAAATTGAATCAGGTATGTGAACATCTAATTATATATAAGACTTCTGGACATTGGCTGGCCTTTAACAAGGAGGCCAGCCAATGTTAGGGAGGAGTGTGGCACAGTGGACTAGTGCGTTGGTGTTCAGATCAGGGGAGCACAGGTTCAAACCCCTCTGCAGTCAGCATGTCGTTGTGTCCCTGGGCAATACACTTCACCCCAAATTGCTCCTATGGGGATTGTCCACAGTATTTAGTATGTAAGACGCTTGTAATGTAATGTTAACAGTGTGGCTGGTAGAGTAAAAGCATCAACCTTTGCTGGTGGTCATTTCTCACCCTGTCCTCTAGAAAAGTGTAGCCACCAGTCAGATGTGATGGATCAATACCGGATGTTTTGCTTACAGCCAATCAGCCGCAGCTTCAATCAGACATTCGTGGCTCAGAGAGAAATATCTATCATCTATGACAGCCTATAGATAGGTGACCTCAGTTGCTGAGGGTGATAAAGGTTACTTTAGTTAGAAGCTGTCACCGGCGCATCTCGCTCTGATGCCTCCAGACCTTGGCCTAAAGGCACAATCCATAACCTATTGGATGAGTCTCTGGGATAAGTGCTGCAGAATGAGATATGGAAACAGAAATGCACTTTCAGAAAGTAAGCAAGGTGCCTAACGCCATGTGGCAACTTTCATTTTTCCCTCGGTTCAACCAAATGCATAGGGGAACTCATTTGTACGAGCATTTTTTTATATTGTAAAGAGTCGCATAGTAACTGATCATGTTTCATTGCTGATGGTAACTATAAGCTGCAAAATGTGGCCTTTGACAAATGTAAGGGGTTTAGACTATATTATTCATACCATGTCGTCCATTTATATTACACTGCATCAAGCAGAAGTGTCGACTTTTGGAAATCACATTTCCCCGATATCATTCCCCACTGATGGTATAAGGTGGTAAAAAGCAACCAAGGTGAGTTTTCTTTGTGATATCCTTTTATTATTTTGCCCTTGCCTTCTCTGTTGTCACCCTCTCCCTTTTCTAGTGAATCATATTTTTCAGGTATATAGTATATATTTATATAACTATATAGAGAGGAATCTTTATGGCTGAAGTAAATAACCTGGCGTCTTGCTGGCTAGCGGCTGGTTTATCAGTGGGTGGAGAAGAAGAAGGGAAAAAACAGCCCTTCAGATTGACACAATGGCGTGCGCTCTGACAGGGAAGAGGGCACGGAGGCAGGGAGGGATGCGAAAAGCAGGAAAGCGAACACAACAAACGGAAAAGAGGTAGTCTTGATATCAGGACACAAATGGGATGGGGTAGGTGAGCGCAAATCTCACCACCCCACCTCCTCTCCTCCCCTGTGTTGCTTCTTTAGGATTTTGGGGGCTAAATCCACTGAGGTGGGCACTGATACATCAGAAAAAAGCATGAGAGCTGCTCCTAAATTACTACAAGACATACTGTAGCTACGGTCTCAGAACGCTTGTGAAATGTTACACTTCCTGGAAGCATGTCTTCTCGTTCTCCCCGCCATTCTTGGGCGAGGAATGGGATGGTTTAGTATCACAAATGGGATGCTATTCTCCAATTTCAGTTAGGGATTTAACGGAGCCAAGGCCCCTCTTTTGGCTCGACACACTGTCTGATGTCTTAACAAGGCTTTACCCCCGGCCAAATCTTAAATAAAAACCTTCCAAATCTCGCTCTGTACGCCAAACCAGATTGCACTTTATATGTGTGTAAGCATTTGTGTGTCGTGGATTTGTGAACTGTGTCAGTGCTCGTGTTGTGTTGCCTCGTGTTTTTACATTTCTTTGCCTCTCCCTTTAACTCACCCCCGTCTTTCCTTATACAGCATATCAATGAAGGCCAGATATGTACTAGGGGAAGGAGGGTGTGTGTGTGTGTGTGTGTGTGTGTGTGTGTGTGTGTGTGTGTGTGTGTGTGTGTGTGTGTGTGTGTGTGTGTGTGTGTGTGTGTGTGTGTGTGTGTGTGTGTGTAGCCGTGCATGGCTGAGCGCGCTGTTCAATAGTGCTCTGGCTGGCTGGGCCGCGGCTGGCAAGCGGCTGCAGCGGAGACTTCGGCTGGGGCTCCGCTATCGCACCCAGTTATCGTTTCCCCCATGAAGGGCTCCCTTATCACCCCAGCCCAGAGAGGTCTCCCTTCTTCTCCCATCCCCGAGACACACTCCTACTCTCCCTCCCCACACACACCCTTCTCCACCTCCTCCTCCTCCTCCCTCCTTTCATATCCACCCAGCGCTCTGTCGTGCAACATTCAACCGAAAGGGGAGGGCTTCAAAGATTCTCCCTCACACACACAAACACTCACAAACTCCCAGAGTGAGTGTGTGTGTGTGTGTGTGTGTGTGCGTACGCTCAATTTGCCAAAACAGTTTTTCCAGTGTAATTGGGCTTGGGGTACCTGTGTCCATGAGATAGCGCAGCCTCTTCTCCACGCGAGCTGCTCGGGCGTCGATGTGCCTCTGCTCGCTCTCCAGCGCAGACAGCTCCCCAACCACATACTGACTGGTGTCTTTGAACGCCTTCTGTCAACCAGAGAGAGAGAGAGGGGGGGAGAGAGAATGGTTATGAGAGAAAAGGAAGAGTAGTGCGATATAGCATTAAACAGACACAGTATAAAAAAGATGGAGGGATGAGACAGATGAGGGAGGAATACAGAGAAGGGATGGAGCAAAAAGGTAATGCAGGGATAGAAATAAATACATGAAGAGATA